AAAACACATTTTATTAGCCATCGGGAAAGAATGAAGAGGAGACCTTTTAGACCAGCGGGGTTAAGAGAAGCACTCATTATGTGAAAAAACTTTTTTTGCTTTGATACTAAAGTACCAGGTGTTATAAATGTGACATCATTGTTCCTTTCTGTCTGAAGAAGAGGATTAAAGTCTCCCTGCGGCCTTTGTACAGCGACACATGATCATCACAATGCCAACTCTGGCTCTATCTTTGCCCCTTTAAAGGGTCAGCACCTGCAGGGCAGGTGGAGCCACCAGCTGGGCAGCCAGGGCTGAACCGAGGCATTGCTTTAGGTTCCCAGTACTGCCTGTCCTCTCACGACACAGCTGCTCACGGCATTGTGATGATCAAAACAGGTGGCCACCAGACAGCTGTTGTGTAGAACCTGCGTTTCACTGCGTGCCTCTGGCCAGGGAAAACATCGAGCATTTAGTGCGCTGGGCCAGTGGACCAGCTACTATTCAGGTGGAGGGTACGGACACTTTGTGCCATACCCTGTTTGCTTCTGGCCTAGGGGCTATCTTGGTCCTGGGGGCATTGGAGACTTTGGAAACTATCCCAACTGCACTGGAGGAGCGGCTGGTTACATTGATCGTTTGCTTCTTGGGGAAAACCATATATATCAGCATCCCTCTTCAAATGTAAGTAGCTTTTGGTTTGCAGTATGAAGCCGCAAGTGAGCACTGAGCACAGCTGTCAGGAGGGGCTTGGGAATGACATGTGCAGGGGGGTGGAAGAGAAAGGAGGCTGGTTGCTGAGGTGCCCTCTAACACCTGTTTTCCCTCTAAGGTGATTTACCAAACGACAATGCCGTATGATCCTGAAGGGATCCTGGGGACCATAAATACCATTTTTATGGCGTTTCTGGGACTGCAGGTACCTTTTTGCTTTCTGGCTGTTGCTATAATGGGAAGATTTGAAGGAATCTTGGAAGTGGGGAAGTAACTTGGTTTCTTTATTTAAGGCTGAGACTGCTTCTAACAAAACCCTTTCCAGAGCAATGCTTTCAGGCTGACTTAGCCTGAGCTGAGTGTCAGAGAAGTGGAATCTAACCTGGCAGTAGCTTGCATTACATAAACCAAGACTTTTTCTCAGTTTTTGTAAGGGATGGATGCAAGAGGTTTGCAAAATATCCACCCGGAAACTTCCTTTGCTTGTTTTAAGGTTGGACTTATGCTGGGAGTAGGCTGGCTCTGCATGTTGGAAAATAGGGCCAAGAAACACATAGACTTCGCAGCTTCATTTCAAACATACAGCTGGAAAGGGTGCAGCTGTACATGTTCCCCCTTGCTAATTTTCCGCTTGACGTGCAGTGTTAGTGGTCTCGTATGGGTGCTCTGGGTGTGCCCACCTTCCCAGACACCAGGGAGGCAGGGGTTCACCTTAGTGTTACCAACTTCAAAAGCTCACAGCTCACCACCGTGTTTAAAAGATCATGACGCTTTTTGATGCAGTTCTGGTTAGTCATTGCTGGCTTTTCTGTCTGTGCAGCAGTTGTTAATCAAACTGAAACTCTTGTGCTGGGAAGGGAACGTTACCTCATGTAGCACTGGGTAAAGATGGATTGGGAATCTCTGCGAGACAGAGCTTGGAACAGAAGTGTGATGCTGAGGAACTAGTCATCAGGACACATCTCTCTGTGGCATGAGAAAAGGAACGTGTGCTCTGAGCAGGCCAGGGTGTGACGTGGTGCTGTGAAGAAGTTGTTGGGGCTGGCTGAGGAGTTGACACGGCGTTCTTCCTTCATGCAGTCCTTGCTGAGGCAGACGGAGCTCAAGTCACACTGTGTTAACCTGACAAAGTTGTTGTCTCCTTCCTTGTCTCTTTCCTTGTCTCCTTCCTCAGTGTTAACGTAGTAGGGAAGGGAGAAAAGGCGCACCTCTGTTGCTGAGCGGGTCACATTTACATGTTTTCTCCATCTGTGTCCGTTTTTTGCAAAGAGTTCCCATTCTGAGGCTTTCAGCTGCTTCGCTGATATAAGTCCTATTCGTGGTAGCACAGGTAGCCAGTGGCAAATATATCTGGCTCTTGAAATGTAGTTACATTTATCAGCATTAATTCATTTTTTGTGTTCTTTTTATATTAGGCAGGAAAAATTATCTTGTTCTACAAAGACCAGCACAAACAAATTATGAGTCGGTTCGTCATATGGAGCATAGTAATGGTAAGTCAGATAGTTTTGTAGCTCTTTAACAGACAAGTGTTTTTATGCAATGCAAACTTACTATTTCTGAAACATGTTGCGGTGGTTATATAAACTTTAGCAACTTTCTATTTCAGGGAATTATTTCTGCTATCTTGACAAAATGTTCTAAAGAAGAAGGGTTTATTCCCATAAACAAGAACTTATGGTAAGCAAAGGGATAAACTTTTAGCATGATTTTTTTTAAAGTACTACTTCACCTTGGAGAACGTTTTACCTTTGTTACATCGAGATCCATCTGTATCGCATAGTTCCTCACATAATCTTTCTACTGAAAATGTGCGTAGGTCAGTATCGTATGTGACAACCACAAGCTGCTTCGCCTTCATCCTCTTACTGCTGATGTATTACCTTGTGGATGTCAAGAGACTGTGGTCGGGTGCTCCATTTTTCTACCCAGGTCAGTAAAATCACATCAGGAAACAACATACTCCCTCCAATTCTTTCTGCACTGATACTACCCTTTTGTGTTTCCAGTGCTTTACTTGTCTTTAGAAGAGCTGTGGTTTAGAATGAGGTAGCCTGAAGGATGCCAGAATGATTAACTTGAGCTGAATCTTTGCGTAGAACTGTGACACTTGAGACCAGATATTTAGGAGAGAGGGACTTCAAATGAGGGCTGGAAGCTGCTATTGCCCAATGACCGTTCTCAGTTTGGTCTCAAGTTAAGGTCCCAGGGAACAGCTGCCCAGTACCAAACAAAATACCACAGCTCCTTCATGGTTGGTTTTGGAAGGCACTGCTGAGACTTGGGTAACCTAATGGAAAGGCCTATCAACAGAGTAATACCACTTCTGAAGATGTGGAAGATGAAATCCCCATGGCAGCTCCATAGGTTCTGTCTCTGTGGTTTTAGATAAGCCTGTCTCCCAGAGCATCCCACAGTGTTTTTGCCACAGTGGGCTCTCGACAAACATCTGAGTACAGAATGCAAACCCACCGCAGAAGGAACCTTTCAGCAGCTTTGGTGTCTGGTGTCTGGACAGGAAGATGGGTAGGGTGAGAGCACAATATCATATCTCCTACCAGAAATCCCAGAGCTTTGAAGGGCAGTCAGCGTGTGTTTGTAATGGCAATAGATCTGACCAAACGGGTTGGCACTTGGCCACCCTGAAGACAGTAACACTGATTATTCTCCTTATCAATACAATTGCAGGATACTGATTTGGTTGAATTTTCAATTTAGCATATAGGTTATCTGTGTTTCTTTTCAATAAACATTTTGGGGGAGAGAACCCTCAGACTGTATTTGAAATCACACGTGTGTGGCATCCTTTGGGCAAGTAACATTAGCTGTTGTGATTAGCTGCTGTTGTCTGGCTGCCACTTTCATAAGCCTGGCAAGCCTCTGCCTGCTTACTCTGAAGCAAGCTTATACCTGCTCTTTCAGATGGTATGACCTGTGCTTACTTTCAGGAATGAACTCAATCCTGGTCTACATTGGACACGAAGTGTTTGAAAACTATTTCCCTTTTAAGTGGAAGATGCAAGACAGTCAATCCCATGCAGAGCATCTGACTCAAAACCTCACTGCAACAACTCTTTGGGTCATAATATCGTATTTACTTTACAGGAGAAGGATATTCTGGAAAATCTGACAGAGGTGGTCACGGTGTAGCAGGCCTAGATCTGATGGGGCAAGTACATAAGGTGGATTAGCCTGAAATACTGCCACTAGTGCTAGGCTGTATTACGAAAAAGGGATACTAGTTCAAGTTTACAGTGCCATGGGGTTTGTCATCAAGACTTTTATGTGACTTAAGGGACAGTATTTTCCTAGTTAGCTAAAACTTACTAGCCTGCTGTGGCTCTTTTTCTGTATTTTGTAAATATTTTACTGATGTCCCTCCTTCATACAGAGAAACTGTACATACTGCAACAGTTGGGCAGTCAAAGAGAGCCTGACAGTGCTGACAAAAGGAACTGCAAGGGATCTGGGTGGTGGCTGCGACGGTTATCAGAAGGGGACTGTGGTAACAGTTGTTGCATCTGACAAGGCACCCCCCAACTCAGGTGGTCTGGGGTTTGTATATACCCTTGGCACCTGCCGCGTGACTGCGCCACCCTGGCTGCTAGTACACATTTACCTCTGCCATGTTTTTGACTGGGGAGCACCGGAGCATCCTCAGCCCTGCACTTGGGTCGGCGGTGCAGCGACTGTCTGGGAAGGCTCAGGGACACCTCTGAGCTACAGCGTGCTGCAGAAAGTGGTGACTCAACTGATCATTCTTCATCCTGTTCTTCGAGTTTTGGTCTTAGATCAAAACCTTCCTGCTGAAGCCTGCTGCCAAAGATGTCTTCTATCGGCTTATGAATCAGCATGCTGCTGCTACAGGTTTAGCAGCCCGTCTGTGCATGTCCTGAGCCTTTGGGTTACAGACCTCCAACATCGATGAGGGCCGAGTTTCTTGTGCTACACTCTAAGAGTGCAGAAAGGCCCGTTCTATTGACTTTGTCTAATCACTTGGATATTACCAAAGTTCCATCAAAGCAATCCTCTTTATAAATGAATTTACGTAAGGGCCCTGAATCTGAAAACCAGCAACAGAGGTAGAATTCAGCCAAAAAGGAAGAGAGTGCAGACCAATTCAATGTAAGATTACAGGTTTTGCAAACTCAGAAAATTCACTCTTGCTATGATTTCCAAACTAGTGCTAATAAAAAGCCTAAAATACCCCATGTTCTCTGTGTATGTATAAAGATGGAAAGAACTAAGACCCATACCTTAGTATAATCCTATGAAAAAAAAACCCAAACACACAGGACATTACAGAAGACTTCTTAAAGTTTTATTTATAAAGTTTGATCTACCCACATAAAAAAACTAAGTGGTGAACAAACACTGAGTAGTGTTTGTGTATTGCAGAACCTGTAACTCACAGGGAACTTCTTGGACTCTCTGGACAAGTGATTTTCCACTGCCATACTGCTGTTCATATGATTAAGAGCCTTCCCCTCTCTCCGTAAGAGACACTGCATCATGATCCAGTCCATTCAAGCAAGAGTCTGAAGCAGCAGTATTTTCTCATTAATGCAGAATCTATGCAAGACCACCATGAGATTTTCCCCACAGCGCGAGACCTGGCGCTCCATGGCCAGGCGGAAATCTTCTTTCACTCCTTTAGTTATACCCCGGGTAACTGTATGATGCCTTAAGCCATGAAGGAGAGAGAGAGAGAGAGAGACAAAGTCAAATAATGGTTATTTGGTGCACTACAGTAATTTGAAAGGTGCTGCATGTCACTTACTATGTATCTGCTGTCCATACCTGAGTTTATATAAGGAGAGTGAAATAGCCTGTGCTATGCTGTTTTTTAAAAATGATGCGTTTAGTAGCTTACAAGTCTTTCAACAGTTAGAAGTTTCATAAAAGTCTATGTTCTCACTGCTTTCATTATGACTGGGGCAGAGGGAAATGTTGCTGTTCTGGCTAACAGGAAAGTTTATTCTCTTAACCCAGCAGGTACATTGCTTAGGGAAAGGAATTGGGTTTTTCTTTCTACCTTTGCTGCCCAGGCCACTTCATCCTTGTAATCACTTCTATAAATGGCTGGGGAAAGAGTGAAAAGATGAACCTGCTTTCTCTGGAGGAAGGGGACAGATGGCTGCCCCCATAAAGAGCAGAGGGCATCTTGTACCAGTAGGAGAGTGCAGGAAGGAGCTATATAGTCCTGTGGGCACTGGTAAGTCTTTGAGTAAAGGAAGGTGCAGTGAACACTTCACAGGCCAACACAAAGCCCAAATCAAGCCAGGCTGTGAGTCTGCATCAGTAGAAGCCAGCTCTGTGGAGATACTACACAGCACACAGGGATCACATTTATTCTGAGCAGAAGTTCAGGACTTGTTTTCAAACAGAACAAAGGTCCAGCTACTGAGCAAGCTAAAGCAATGCTGGCTGGGGAAACTCTTGGGTTATTGCCCTGTTAAAGGCCATTCTTACGAACAGTTCTTTGTCCTCACGCTGGCCTGTAGCACTCAATACCTAAATCTTGTCCTTAAAACAGCAGCACCAAAGCACTACACTTTACTTGCACTGGTCCAGAACTGGGTAAGTAAGATCAAGACTTTGTAACATCTACCTGCAAGCCCTGCTTGGGAAGGGAAGCAAAAGATATGCCCTGAAACGAGAGCCTGAGCAGTACTAACAGAGCACCATAAACGAGAGAGAAAAGCATAATGCTAACGATAAGACAAGTTCCGAGTCATGGGTAAGAAGGGAAGAGCTGGACCAAACCCAGCAAGCCCGCTATGCCTATCCAGAGATGCTGGAAACGAGAAAGGGAAAAGTCTGGGAATGACTGTCACCAACAGTATCACCCCACCTTCACTTAAATCAGCAAGTCCAGCATTTGAGAAGAGACTTCTCTGCCAAAACAGTAGAGACCTGTGTAACACGTGGAAAAGGCAAAGAACAGACTAGCCTGGAGACTACTGGGCAATTCATTGATGAGCTAGGCAGAGCGAAGCAAAACCGCACTGAAAATACTCCAGCTTATTCAGAGGTTACAGGATAAGCCCTTTTTTCCATCTTTACTGTCTTCAACACTGCTGGCAGCTGAGTGCTATGGTCAGTTACAACCTAAAGGAGAATATGTAACCTACAGCTACTGAGCAAGCCAGCAGCGCTTTTGAAGATGTGTGTCATGTAACAGCTGGAAAACAGAATTCAGAACAACTTAAATGAAGAAAAGTAGCTACAAACGGATCCAGTAAACAGTATCTTGAAAAAAAGGGGGTTATACTCTTGCTAATACGCGGTTGAACATCAGTATCATTTGGGGTGATTTCTCCATTTTTGTTTAAATTCAACAGTGATTATTAAATTGAAAGGACACAGATACTGGCAACTTATGGGAAAAAGAAAAATAAATGTTATAGTAGAACAACATGGTATGCCAGGCAATGTAGGCACAAATGGAGAAAACAAAAAGATAAATATTGAGTAACAAATTGCTGAAAACCATGGGCAGTAAAACATGTTGACAAAACACAGCACACTATGAGCAGGGTTTTTCCACTTGGTACCTGTCAGCAGTCTGTATGCTGGGCTGTAGCACAGTTTCCTGCTGCAGTAACCCCATGGGAGGGCTAGAAGTCCTTTAAAAAACAGCAAATAGCAGCATTCAAACACCCACACACCGACTCCCCCTCTGGTGTAAAGCAACTCTCCAGAAAAAGGAGCAACAAAGAACTAGGGTGAGACCACATGGCATAGGGTGCAGGACCCTAACAGCATCAGACATGCAAGTATCCCCAGATTTCATTGCAAGGCTGTTCTGCAGCTGTGGTCTAAGTATATACACATATTTTTGGACAGTTACACCAGGAGAAAGGACAGCAGTAGGTGCAAAAACAATTCACAGTTGTACTATGATGAACTGTCATAGCTCTTCCCAGGAAGCGTGTCAATCAGAAAAGATTTCATCAGAGGAGCACTGCAGATACCACAGCAGAGCCGGCAGGAGCGTGTCAGCGAACTGGGAGAGCCCACAACTTGGAGTTAAGGGATTTGCTGCTGAGCTCAAGCCGAGTGCATGCACAGCGAGTACTGGCCAAGTTGAGTACATGACAGTGTTTGTCACAGGTTGCCTAAGTATCTTTTCATTAACCCACACATGGCCTTTTTCACCTTTTCAAATTCAAACCGCATACAAAAATGGCTGCTGGAGGATGGCACAATGTCAGAGCACAAATGCCCGCTCAGAGCAACCTCCCATTTATGACCAGGGCCACATGAACTAGCCACCAAAAGATGTCTCAGCTGAAAGACAGTTTGTCTTCTCTGTGACGCCAAGTCCTTACACCTGTGACGCTATCTATCACACAAGGTAACCACCTCACACGTCCGGCCTAGAGCAAATCCAATGCCCCACCTAAGGAGGCACCCGAGTACTGAGCCATCGTTCACCCCCACCGATGCTAAGGAGGGAGCAGAGAAGCAAGACTCGCACTGACATACCTGTAATACCAAGTTAGGTGCCTACCTTTGGATCTCACAGGTGGGCACGTTGGTTAGTATCTACAATATATTAATGAATATGGATGGAGCGAGTGCTATGCTTATAAATGTCAAATAAAGATGGGACATTTTAGTAGTACAGAAACACTCTACAATACAGCTACAATAACCTGAAAGAAAATATCCACAAGAATTATTCAATCCAATGAGATAATTTTTCAAGAGTTCTTGGCATAAGTGCAGTACTTGCAAAAATGGACAGGGAAACTGAAAGGAACACAAGATGTTACTGGTCCCAGAGCTGCAGATGTTTGCAAAAAGGGATTCTGCGCAACTGTGTCTTTGTTACTGTTTGCAAGAATCTGCAGTCAGAACTAAACAGACGCAAGTGCGCAATCAGAATAAAAATTACACTTTCAAGATACTTTGTTTCACTTCAAACCAACTGAACCTTTCCTCCTCTGTCCCCAAGGGCAGATGCGATGGGAATGTGAGTAGAGGCAGAACATGCAACAGCTTTCACATCAAGTTTACAGTTTGGTAGTCTAAGATTAGACTAATTTGAGTAAGATTTATTAAAAAAAGAGAAGCATGATATTTATCACTCATTTCTTGCATATTGTTCTTTTCCTCTTTAACCTCACTAGCTAGCGCTGCCACTACTGACATGTATAATCAGTAAAACTATGAAACTTGGCTTGTCTGGAATGGGGTTCAAAAGCACTTAGTGGTTGAATTCAGGGCTCATTGTAGAAGTCTTGCTGACACTTCAAACAGAATGAGCTGACTATATCACCACTTAAAACCAAAACCATGGACCTTCATATTCCCACAACGGACACAAGCAAAGGGAAAGCTTACAAGCTCTATATATATTTTGCAGGAGCCAACTGTAAGTCTGCAGGCTACCAAGATCTTACTTCAGCTTTTGAAAACCACATTGCAGTTTGCTTTCCTGCGTTCAGAAAAATGAATCTAATGGCCTATAAAGTATAAGGTACTAAGGAAAAGTACTGGAAGAAGATTGTAGACGTCACTTGGGGCGAAAATGTCCTGTAAGTCACAAACCAAAAAGCTGTCCTTATAAAAACCATACAGTATCTGTAATACGTTTCACATCAATTAAGATGCAGGATTGCTACGTACATTTATGGCAAGGAAAGATCAGGCAAAGGAGCAACTGCTTCGTCTTTGGGCTGCTGTGGCAAACTCAAGAGTCTTCCTGGGCATGACTGAACAGTATCTCAGCTGCCTCTGCTAATTATCGGGAGGATGGTGCAGCAGCTCATTCAACCAGAACTGGTGATAGTTTTGAACGATGAAAGCCAGTCTACAGGTTTTGAGCCTACCAACCAGCATCCCAGGAAACAGGGCACACTATCTAAAAACCTCGCTGGAGAAGGCCATGAGCTAACCAGTGCTTCTGAGGTCAACGCTTTTGGGTGACACCATCCCTAAGCCTCACAGCCAGTCCAGCTAAAAAAATCTGGGGTACTCGGGGAGTAGACGTCATCTCCAATGAGCAAACTATGACCTGAGCTCCCCCTCCCATCAGCTCTCCGATGAAATGGTTCCTGTCCTACACATCTCAGCCACATAAAAGACACTATACACAGCTTCTCCTGCTGGACAGGATATTTGACTGTTTCAGCTCAATAAGCACAAAGAAATGGACCTGTCTTCTACAAGCATTTCCATCATTCAGGAAACATAACACCGGTCAAAAGGCGGTCAAAGAGAGATTTTTGTCTTGCTAGAAACGCTGCTTGCTACCTAATTCCTGACTGGCAGGGTCAGAACAGCAAGTAACAGCTACCACGCCAATCAAAATAAAAGCTGTGATGCAGAGAAAGTGCTGAACTATTGTAACTAACTTGAGATAGCAGCTAAGAAGTAACTAGGCGTAGTCTTCAGTGCTAAGCCCTCCTCCTGACAAAGCTTATTACTTAACATCATACGTAGTGCAGCATACCCTGATTCTTGTTTTCATACAGCTGGTTACAAGCAGTGAGATATAGCAAGGGTAAGAGTTTGAAAATCTAGAGCTTAAAAGAGAGAATTCTCTGTCACATAATTAAACATTTGTATTTCTTCTTTTCTTTTCTTTAATTACACCTAGTATCTCATTTTTGTGTCAGTTACCTAGAACTCTGGAAAGTCTATTCACTAGTCCAAATTTGGATCCAGTTGTCTAATGTTAAGGCTCCCATTATTTTAAAACTTTAGCCCATTTCTAGTTAGTGAACAGCCAGAATACACTGACCCAAGCTGGAATTTCAACAAACTTTAGCAGTCGCCTTCTTATAAAAGAAAATACCACAAGTTCTAATAAACAGCCAGGATATTCCAAAACATTCTGCAACTAAAACCCTGTAGCAGATACTTGTTCAGTCTTGACTCAAAACTAACACCTAGGAAGTTAATCCAAATTATTAATTTCCTTCAGCATCTTGTAATAAGCTAAGCAGAATAAGCTTGTTCAGTACATAGCAAGAGATGGCCTGCTAGTTCTGACAGAACGGTTATTAGAGTGTGCCTGCAGTGTAATTTAACTTATGTTTTATACCTAAGGTTTTCATCATTCAGCGGTCTTTCATAACTTTGTTTACAACGAATAGCGCTTTCTGTGCTGCAATACTGTTCAGCAAAATTATTAACAACACCTTGCACTCATGCCTGATTATTTAAGAATTCCTGCAAAGTAAGTGTCTGGTTGAAAGAGCAATACTGTAATCACGTTAATACCACAGACTCACAGAACGGTTTGGGTTGGAAGGGACCTCAAAGATCACCCAGTTCTAACCCCCCCACCATGGGCAGGGACACCTCCACCAGACTAGGTTGCTCAAAGCCCCATCCAGCCTGGGCTTGAACACTGCCAGGGAGGGGGCAGCCACAGATTCTCTGGGCAACCTGTTCCAGTGCCTCACCACCCTCACAGGGAAGAAATAGAATCGCAGAATGAGTATGAATCATTCTAAAGCAAATGCCACACTTAAAAATAAAGTTCTGTAAAAGCAGGAGTTTAAAGTTGAAGAATCCCAAAAAAGCATTCACAGATCAGCAGGAGAATCAGAGAAAGAAACTCTCAGCCTTGTTTGAACTCTTTAGCCAACTCCTTAAATTTAACTCAAAGACATGACAAACTCGCTATCCAGAAGATTACATGAAAGCAAAGATAACCAGAACATACTCCCTTTTTTTCCCCCCGAAGAAAACAGCAAATGCTTTTTTATCCTTACTTGATCAACATTGCTTGATTTGGCAACAGTTCCAGATGAATTTTCCCTCCTTCCTGTGTTCTTAAATAAGCAAATTCCTCCAACATATCAATATCTGAAGAAAACGTTAAAGATTTAAGTAGGGGAAAAAATGATACAGAACATTCCTTCTTATCCCTCACATCTGAAGCCACATTGCTGAAAGGACAGTCAAAATGAACAGCTATTAAAGTATTTCATTCTTAAAAGTGACAAAGAAGATCACAGCATGTATTCCTAATCCTCCACAAATTCATAAGAAATGGCTTTTTAAAGCACAAAACACATACACACCAGTCAATTTCTTTTCTTTCTTCATTTCTTCATATGTACAGTCAGACAGGGGTAAAGAAAGCTCATCTCTCCAAACAAATTCCCTGCTTGTTTTTACTTCCTTTTCCTGCATTGCAGGTTATTAAAGCAGTGCATACTGAGGCTGGGACTGAAGGAAACTCCACCATGGTGGCACATACCACTCTTGTAAGTTTTCTATTTTGGTGCCTTATTTAGCTTTTCTTCTCTTTTTTCCTTCACAGCTTTTTCAGTTGTCTCAGATGGGAGTTAGACCCCTTGCTTCCTGGGGACCATGGCTGGATGCCTACTTAGGTTGAACACTAAACTGCCCACGTGCATATATGCTGATCAAAGCGTATGTCAGATACCTGAATACAGAAACAAGACATGCTTTGCAGGAACTTTGACATACCTCATTATCTTACTCAACCCAAAAATGTTACCCACACAAAGCATTTCATAAACAGCTGCCAAAATTGTTCAACTCTGAAGCAGAGGTACCACTTTATCGTTTTTGTTAACAGCCCTGTAGTATAATGCCCTGTGTATCTTACTGAAAAGACTGCCATCACCCACACGAGCAGCCTGAGCTGCTGCTGTTTTTCTGCATGGAAGTAGTATCTTACTGAAAAGACTGCCATCACCCACATGAGCAGCCTGAGCTGCTGCTGTTTTTCTGCACGGAAGTGCAATTGCAGCACTTAGGGGTACTTCCAAGTGCCAGAACAGGTGACAGGAGGCGTATTTGTAGTCCACTGTGCACTGTCACCTATAACGAGAGGCTTGTGTGGTATGGAAATAAATACCGAATATCACTCACAGAAAGAGCTGCTGCTGAAACTATCTAACAGCTTTTTCAACACCCCAGCACATAGTTTTGGATGTGAAAGACATACTTCGTTAGAGAAAGGATACTTGTGACATAGTTGAAAAAATTCTCATACTGGAAGTTTCCTTGTTGGCAGATTTTGTTGATGGCTTTCAGGAACAAGTTCTCACCCCTTGGCCACTCATGCTGAAGCAGAACAACTACGTGGCCCAGGGCCATGTCATCTCTGCTGTCTGTGAAAGCTCTGAGCTTCAAGGAAAAAAATTGACATTGACACAATCAGGAAACACATGTTCCTTTTATAAATACATGGGATTCATCTCACCTACATCTGTGCAAATACAAAAGAAGTTCTTTAGGAGCATATTTCATTCTGCCCTAATACACACATCTAAAATACATTGAAAATTTCCAGCCAAAATACCAAATTCTCTCCACTGACCTGTGGGAAGTTTGAATACAGACAAAATATTTGGAGATTAACTGTATGTCCTCTGCCCAAAACTAAAATGGATAGAAGAGGAAAAAAAAAAAGAGAGAGACCAAACCCTCCCCCTCAAAAAAAGACCCTCCACAAACTCATTTAGGCACAGCCCCTCACACCTAGTCACATGACTAAGGCCATGCAGTTTCAGGACCCCCGATACATAAACTAGGCCTTGGACACACAACAGAATTTGAAGCCTTGACTACAGCTTACCTTGAAACAAGCTAACAACAGATGAAGGCAGTAAGGCATGATAGCTCTACTGGTACATGGCCAAAGCTTCAAATCAGACCCTGCAACAGAACAGTTTAGCTTACACTTCTTTAGGGGTCTCATGATTATATAAGTTTGAAATAAATTAAAATGGAGCAAGATAAACATACAATTGCCAAATCTCAGGTAGGGAGGAAAGCTTTGAAGGTAAGTTACCAATGATTCAGAACATGAAGTTACACATTTTAAATTTTTTTTCTTCATTTCTCTTTTCCTGCGGTAGGACTTTGTCACCAATATACTGTAATAGGTACCAGCAGGAAAACCACTCACAAAACCAAGAGGGGATGAAGAACTTCCTCCCTTCTCGTAATACAAAAAGAGAAGAATTACACACTCAACTGAAACACGTGAACTAAAACTGAGATGACACTGAGCTCAGGGTAGTAGCAACTCCATACCTTTCCTGAATTTAGACTTGACTTTAGGTTGCTCCTCTTGTACTTTACCTCCTTCTTGTATTGGAATTAAAATACAGCACATGAGGTCAAGCACTTTTTCACATGTTTGCTACAGAAAGAAGAGAGACATGATAATGCTAAGTCTAAATGAAAGGTCTTAAAATTCAGATATGTTAATGATTAAAAATTTCAGACACCACAAAAGAAAAAAAAGAAAAAAAAAATCACAGAATTCTCTGTTAGAACTTCAGTGGACTTAACATGTAACTTAGTTTGGCTGAGTAAAAAGACGTAGCTGTCATCAAATGATCTCCAAAAGCCTCCATAAATCATTTTAATTGTGAAAAACACATATTGGCATTCTTCATTTCAAGAGTGTAAGATCAATACAACTGCAATCAAAACCTATTTCATTTTGAAGGATTAATTTTTCAGATTAATTCTTCAAATAGTTTTTAAAAGCTTCTTCTGTCCATGGTAAAAGTAGAAAGGAAAATGGCAATCTGACAGCATGACAGAAATGCAATGAATTTTTAATGCTATTTCCTAGAGACAGTAAGAAGTCTGTGGGGATATATTATCACATTGCCAAATAAAAAGTAGTAAACTGGAAGGGACAAAAAGACTTCTCCAGCAGTAGAGCGATGACGTTAGATCCTAAGAGAACCAGCCTTTATTATTAGCGCTGACACTGCCTGGCCTCAGACCACCATGCACTCCTCTAACATTAAAAACACAAATATGTATGGCAAAAGTAAAACAAGTTCAGAGGTCAGGCCAGACGATATTGTTCTGGAGTCTCTCACACTGTCAGCTGATAACTAATTCTTTTTTAAGGTGATCAGTTTCTTTTCTACAAACCCTTTCTTTCTCCTGCCACATGAAGTCTGTACCTAAGAATTTTCCCTCAGTATTTAAAACTGTTTCAGTAAAGTTAAGGGATTCAGATTTAAGGTTACATTTACAGACAACTCAAACACTTGTAGCTATAACCCCACAAGCTAATTACCTACCTAAACCCCCCCAAACCATAACCACCAAATAGACTAGGTAAGAGAGATGCTAATGGACAGCCAGTTAATGTGCCAGGAAGGGCAATTCTTCTCCCTGTCAAGCACGGATTTTTCAGTGGACCCTGGCTTATGTGCGATACCCTGCCGAAAGCAGGCTAATGGGAAAATTCAAAGGAAGATGACAAACGGGAACCACAGGGCCAGATGATGAAGGACCAGTGTGTGGAATACTGTACCTACCCGGTATTCTCCAAGGGCAAAGTGGCACGATGCTAACTGGATCAGCGCTCGCTGATTTTCTAGTGATCCTTGTCCTGTAATTTGCTGTGGAGAATGAGAGCCCTGAAGAGCTGCCAAGTGATGTAGGCTGCTAATGGCTTTTTTGTACTGCCCCTTTAAAAAAGAAAAGGTATAAAAAGACAGTGTTAGGGTCTTCTGTATACAACGGGAATTTTTATTTCTGTCTTTCTACCCATACAGAAAGCTTTCAAAAACAGAGCATTTCCAATTAACAGGGCTTCAAAATTTTAATTCAGCAGCGTTTAATCAACACTTTCCAGTGATGTACTGTGTACAGGAGTGCGGATCGATCACTTGCAAGGCAGGGAGAAGACAAACAGAATTCTGCTCTAAAAAGCCTGTTTACAAAATTGCATTTAGAACTGAAACAAATAATCATGCTCTCCACAGTTAATCACTACTTTATTTAGACTAACAAAGTTTGAAATAGCTCTTGTTCAGGTACAAGTACAGGCAAAAATAAGAGATGCCCAAAGCAAAAATATAAAAGAACAAGCTTTGCTCTAGAGATGGTATTTGGAAAGAGTACAGTCAGCCTAATTCCTGAGGAGAAAGATAAATTTTAACTGAGACATGCTAAAGTCTCCTGCTGTTTGAAAATTCTTCTCTCTGATTGTGTTCCAATATAATGAACTGACAGACTGGTCAAAATGCCAGCGCAGAGGTCTTTTCCATATGCCAAAACAAGCTGGACTCAACAAACAGCTATTGGGACAGGAATATCCTAAGTCGGGTACCTAGCTTGTGGTAAGAATGGTATGATGCCATCCCCAAAAGGGTCATGCTTCCAAGGATGAAATCAGTAGACCCTTAAAGCAGTCAAACTGGCTAATGAGAACAGCTATTCACTAGAAGGAAGAGCAATGCAATGGTGTCATTTTTGCTAGTTTTTACATTATTTTTTTACCTGGTAGATGATCATGTCTGTAAGAAAGATTCTTAACCAAAGCCAGGTGTCTGTCTTCCACGCCAAACAAATTCTGGTAAACTCTGTGTACGTGGTCAGAGGAGAAAAAGTAAAAGAGAAAACAAAGCATTTCACAGCTTTGGGTTAAAAGTCAATTACCTAGAAAAATAAAAAAGCTGAATTTAAAAAAGAAAAAACAAAACAGCAAGAGTGTGAAATCTTTCAGATACAGGATACTCTTTTCCTATACAAACGTATTTTGATTATACTTCTCTTCACAGTGTCCAACAAATCTAAAAGCAGCTAGGTGGTACTATTTGTCTGCTTTTTAGAAGAGAAATTTGTTTTCAAGATTATCATACCAGATATTATCAGAAAGGGAGAGAGACAGTAATGACACATCTTTTTAAGCATGAACTAAAGCAGCCATTAGCAGCAGACCCTCACTGAGTATTATCAGCACTACTACTAACCAACTGCTCCTTCAGTAAAACCTGCTTCCAAGAGATGCAGGGGTGAATAAGCAAAGATCCACAAAGAATGAAATGAAATCTAGGAATAAAATATTCATAAATACAACAACTGATAAAGCTTCTTATTGGAACTTAGATTAAAAAAACAACTCAGGACCCAAAGTAAATTCAATTTTAAGGATTCACAATGACAGGAATTCTATTTTAACAATAGTAAAGTGACTTCCGTGCACAGTAATAAAGCGTAAATGCAACTCTGCCTTACCTTTGTCGAGTGATTCCAGAGAATAAAGCAGCTCCCAGCTCTCTCTTGCCAGTTTAAAGCTCTCCAATACTTCAATAGAGTTTGCAAGATCTGCCTTGTTTACTGTAATATGTCGACTTCGCGCCTTCCCAGAAGGATCCTCATCATCTGAGCTCTGCTTAAGAGTCAGTTTAAAACAAAGAGATTCACTTCTTGATTTATACTTTTTTCAAAGGACTCTAAAGTCACAGAAGTTCCACTGAACACAAGAAAACAATTCTGTACTAGAGATGCCAAGGCTCTAGTTTAAGTGCCTTTAAGTGACTTTTTGCTTGGCTTGCTTTAATATTAGAACAATTTCTTTTGCTACCAAGAAACTCAGTGGTATGTTGTGATAAACAGCATCCAGAAGAATTCATTCTGTTAAACACGGCGTACCACCACGGAGCTTCAGCCAGATTATCTGTTAAAGCACATACATACTTCACACTTTATCACTCAGTTTAAGCCTACAGTGGCATGACGCAAAGGAAATGTAATTCTTGTATAAGTGCATACTTCTACCAGCAGAGAAATTTTATCAAATAGTGATTTTCTACCATTAAAGAAACAGATGTATTCACAGTTCCAATCACGAAAAGTCACTTAATTTGGAGGTTTAGCTGTAGAACATGACCATTTTTAACAGCTTCTGCAGTCTCTGTTCAACTCCTTCAAGTTAAAATACTCACTCCAGCAACTGCTACAAAATTTGTTTTATTCTTGCTGTCTTTAGCAAAAAAAATCTGTTTGCAAATTGTGGTCAAACAGCTATTCCAGGGTAGCTCTAAAATATTACATCTGTGTCAAAACCACTATTGTCTAAATTCCAGTACCAATGCCATTCTTGTTATGAACAAAAAAGTCTAGAAAAGTTACCATTGTTTTTTCTCTTCCTTCAGCAAGTTTTCTCTTTTTGTGTATGTGTTTGTTACGATCAATATCTGTATCACCATAGATGTTGGCCACATCCTCAAGAAGAACCAGTGGGGCTTGGTTTGGAGCATTTGGACCTGGATTTAAAGATAAATTAATTCAGGATTGTTCTAAACTGATCTGAAAGGTCTCATGCCTATATCAAGTTGGTTTTGTTTCCTTCACAAGTAATGATTATAATGCTAGAGAAAACAAGGTGAAATTAATTCACTTAAGTTGCATAAGCTTAAACTATGCGGGTAAAGCTATGGTTTTCTCAAAGCAGCCTTACGGTAAAGGTCAGAAAGAATTTAACAGATGTCACAAGAGTTTGCCCGAGAGCTTCAGAATCTCTTTGAATCCCTTTCGTACAGAGCAGCCACAAGATATACTCGGGCAGCAGGTGTTCTCTCATTGAGCATTATTTGCTTTCATACAAGTACCACTATTCAATAGGTGAGCAGAACGAACGGCTCTGAAGTTAACAGCCACAAACATGACGAAGCACAGAAATATTCTCAACACATTCACCTGAGAAACCAAAGCAATATGCTGACAGGCACTGATGCCTCAAAGAAGTGTATTCACCTGAGAAACCAAAGCAATATGCTGACTGATGCCTCAAAGAAGTGAGTGTATTTTATCACAAGATTTCCCTGGTAGGATCACTCAGCATCAGCTTTTCCCCCCACTGATTTCAGTGTACAGAATTAAACTTTTAATTGACTGCCAGAGCCCATCATCACTCCCCAAGGCCTCCAGAGAAGCCTCACTTTGAAGCACAGAAGACATAATTTCTACTTCCACTGGTGTCACAGAACATCTGGTGGGATCTGGTACCTGTTATTTCAGACCTCAGTACTTAAGTTTCATTGGATATAAAATAGGAACAACACTTCTTAATCTCTAACAACATGGTACATGGCCACTACGGAGAATGATTTCCTTCTGAAAACATTTTCTCCTTTTGCAAAATCAAGTTGTATATAGATGTGCAAAGCTCAGGGAAGAAAAATATAAAGGAAAGGGGAAATCCATTAAACTGTTTATCCTTTTTGAAATCTCCACCAGACAAGACAGTAGTGTGGACAAGTATTTTCAGTATGTGCATTTCTTCTGTTTCTATTTGCAGACAGATATGAAGCTAAGGCCTCATTTATGATGGCCTTAGTTCATTAGTTAGTTCATTAAGAACTAACTTGAGCGCTTAGTATAAGGACAGTCCATTTCATCTCTTGACAAACAAGAACTTATATTAAGCTTTTCCCATCTACTCAAAAGTGATGTGTAGGGAGCCCACTACAACAGAAGTTAATGTTACAAGCAACAACCAACCTGGCAGGATTAACAAATAACCTTTGACTAAGTTCAAACTAAATACCACCACTGAAACGTGCCCTACACAAAGGCTACAACACATTGAAATCTCCACTCCTGTACCATCATGTATTCCGCTGTGACAGAATCTAACCTGTGTGAACCGAAAAAAGAGTCAAGCCATAATGCAGAAAATAGCATCCAACAGGTAGGAAAGGACCACAACTGGGATGCTGGAAGAGTTTTATCACTAGACTCTCCAGAGCTGCCTACTTCTAACATCTGAGAAGAAGAGTGGGTTTTTCTTTTACTCATACCGATCTGAATGAATGCCAGTTAAGTGCTTTGCTCTCCAAAGAAATGTTCTCTCCTCAGAAGCAGGCAAGCGCACTGCAGACTTTATTCTGAAACCTCCAATCCTAAAATAAAAACAAACCTAACCTCACCCTTGACTTGGGCTGCAAAACTTCTCTGACATTACTGAAAGTTACACAGCCACACGAAGAGCAATGCTGTGTTCTTCTGTCTAACCGAACACTAGAATCTAAGCTTACAGAGGTTTTGACTGATTTCTAGCACAGAGTGTTATAAATAAACCCCTAAAAGCATCAGCCCAAATAGCAACTGCTGCCAAGCCTGCAGGCAAGCCTGCAAGTTATGAGAGGTGTGAATTGCCTCATTCACTTCTCAAGCCTCCAGCAAGGCAGATATGAATTATGCAAGAGAAATGCACTGAAAAGTTTTCTCTCAAGAGGTTTCTTGCAAGTCCATGCACATGAGAAGGAAGTCACAGATCAAAGCTCAGAGCTACTGGATTAAGGAGACAGCCTTTTTCCCCACCACTATGTTTCCAAAACACGTATGGGACTACATTTCTACAGCAAGCTCTCCAAAGAGAAGGAGGAAAAACCCCAATGATAGAAAGGATATGAAAGACACT